GTTTTTCTAAAAATAATTGCATAGAACGTCGAAACAAAATTAATTTTCGAATAATCATTTATTTTTGTTTTGGGTAAAACTCAATTATGGACATTTTTAGTAAAAATTTTGCTTAATTTTGCTTAAACAATTATATTAACATAAAAATTTACATTAATTAACTTGTTTCAAATTGGTTTAGTCCCTCACAAAGAGGACGAACAGCGTCTGTCTAATTTATTTGGAAATGGTTTCATTCGCTTCTGAATTTGGAATTAAGGCATTTGTGAGCCCCGAACGAATAATTCACATCTCTCCTGTCGCAAAGACGCGCTCGGCTCGGCTCCACAAAGCCAAAAGATCCAAGTCGCGAGCGCGCAAGAAGTGCGTATTTGCATACGCACGCATACAGCTAGAGTGAAATGTAAACAGAATCGCAATCCTAATTTAGATCTCGCGTCGAAATAAACACGACAGCAGCGCCCACATTCTCTTTCGCGCTTTGTGTACACGTCGTATGTGTGTGGAAAATCTGGCGTGCGCGCGTGTGATGCTGCGACGACGGGCGACAAAAGCTGCTGCGCCAAATTGAATTGTCGAATAAAAGCAAGCAAGCGGGCGTGCAAAATGAGTTGCGAGCCGAGGTGCAAGACTTGAAAGCTTCAAAATTTAATAATGCCGTAAACAAAAACTTCAAAGTTTGCTCCACCTTTTTGCACAAAACTCAAAGGAGTGGAAAGAGAGAAAGAAAAAATCTGTTTAATTTGCTAAACTTTAACTAAATAAAGAATTACTTAAGCTGAGATGAAATTAATTTTATTTCACAATATTAAATGAGGTATAAAAAGTCTGAAATTTTGGTGATTCTTTTTTTTACAGAAAAACCACAATGATCGCAAGATATTTCAATTTTCAAGTTCTTTTATATTCAAATGTAATGTTTTGGCTCTTGAAATTATGAATGATACTGATAATAGCACAGAAAAAATATATATTAAAATTAAATTAGAAGCATCGCCTTAAATTAATGCTAGGAAAATTTTAGTTTCTGGTACAAAATTTCCATTTGCAAAATTAAATTTCTTCAATTTCAAAACATTTAGATTATAGAAAAATCAAAAATCTAATTTTAAACATAAACAAATTAACAAAATTGCAAATTAATTATGTCATAAATTAAATTTAATTCTAATCTTTTACATACAAGAAGCTTCACGAATCGAATTTTTTGTTCAGGCGTCCTTGCGTTTTTTTCTTTTTGCAATATCAGTGCCTGATGCAGCTGCGAGAAGTGCAAACTTTCAGAAATTGCACACCCTAATGGAAAAAGAAGCGACAACACGCGGCAGGGGATGCATTGTGTTGCACTCTATCGGAATTCAATTACCCGTCACTTGTCGGAGAATGAGACGACGACACTTATCGGAACTATTTCCACTTAAGAAGGCTCTGCGAATTCCCGAGACAAAGTTTTGCCAGCACCAGCATTCCACACACCTCATCTTTTCCTCTCAGTCATTTTTCCAAGAGTGGCTGCCGCTCTCTTATGTGTCGGGAAAAAGGCGAGAAAGTCGCAACTTTTCTCGGAAAGGAATTCAGCCAAGAAAAGATGTGGAACTTGAGTGTATCAGGAGAAAAAAGCCATCCAAAAATTGATAATCGAGCGAAATTTCGTCATTTTCCGAAGGGCGGGGGCGCCTGTGAAAAATGAATTTCTGCCGGAGATACAATCAACAGAAAGGCGTCACGTTTCGTCAATTTCCTGCGCGTCTCTCTAGAGACAGTTGGCGGCGCCCGTCTCTGCCCAACAAGTGCTGATTCTGCTCGTCGCCTTCCTCTCTCCAACAAACACACAGAAAGAAAAATTCGTCTCTTTCTCGATGCTTTTTTTTTGGAAAAAATTTATATCTGGGACACTCAGGAAGGAAAATGACACGAAATCATTTATTTAACTACGGCTCTTGGCAAAAATTTCTTGTGGCAACACAAAAATAACTATTATAAAATAAAATAAATCAAAATTTAATAATAAATTAAATAAATAAATAAAATAAATTTAAAAATGAATAAATAAAAATATAAACTAACTAAATATTTTAAACTGTTTAATATTCAGAAGATTATGAAGATTTCGACATATTTTGAAAAATTTTTCTTATAGAGGTGCATAAAATTGTTTAAAAAAGATTTTTATTTGCTACAAATTACGATTTATGCAATTTGATTTACGAGTTCGTTGAGCAGGTTGCATATCTAATTGAATTGGCACTGCTGCATTAATTTGCGGTAAATTTTCAATTGGATGAATAGCAGGAAATTTAAGATATCGTTGAATTGTCTCACTCAATTTATTAAATTGTTTTTATTATTAATATTTAATGCATCGTTTGATCAAATTTAAAAAAAATTTTGATTTATTTAAACACGAGTTGTTCATTCATATTAAAAATTCAAAAATTGATCCATTATCTGATTTAACACTTATGATTGTTGATAATTAACAAAATCATTATTTGAAGACGAGTCAATTGGGTCCTAAAAGTCGAGTAAACGGCCCTAAATTTCCCGATCACCAGTTCATATGTATTCGCCGTGAGTGCAATACTAACGGGAGGCGTGAAGCTCTTAGGCGCAAATTGAGATTAAGAGCTGGAGTTTGACTGTTAATCAAATTATCGCCCGAGCCATTTGCTCCCCCGGCTGCTTCGGTAATCAACTCCTGGCCGAGAGTTAATTTCGTCTTTGGTTATTTATCGGAGGCGCTTTCGAACGAACGCGCGCCTCGCTATAAATTCCGGCGTTGGCGAAAACATGTAAGTGTGCGCAAATGATTTATTTGGCAGGCACGCGACCGAAAAATAAATAAATATTACACGGTGCAATTTACGCCACGGCGCGGCTGATAATGATAAATTTATTAGTGGCGGAATGAATTTTCATTTCCGACGGTGAAAAGAAGACGCGCGGCGCGTTCTGCCTCCCGGCGAGGATAATGTAGTCGAGGAAATGCCGGAATGAATCGGAAATTGAAAGTTTACGAAATGTGTGTCGGCATGTGTGAGGAGAGAAAATGCCTCCGCCAGTTTGCTGTGCATTAAAACGACGCCCACTTTCTCTCTGGAATATATTATAATGTTGTACCCTCACCTACAATGAGCCTCGAGCGAGGGTGTGAAAAGGGTGCACTTATTAACTAATATGTGAGCTTCACGACGGAATATTAAAGCCACTTTAGCCAACACATTTTGCTTATATTAATTTGGATTAAAATTTTATTAATAATTTTTATTATTCCAATTTTTTTAAATTAAATTATTAAATTTTAATTTCTTTATTATTATATACTTTTCCAATTTTTATTCATTTCACCTTTTTTTAAAATTAAAATAACAAGTTATGGTAATTTTTTTTATCAAATTATAAATTATTTAAAGATTTTATATACTTTTATACTTCTTCAAATTTTGCTTAAATCTGGAAACAATTATTTAGCAAATTTTACACCCTTGACTTCTAATATGCGATTTCTGTTAATTCTGACGAATTATTATTGTTAATCATTTAATTATTTCAACGTAGTAAAGTTTTGTAAATGAATTTTAATGAAATTTAAATGAATTTTTCTAGTCAGACCTATTTCGGATTTGCAGCCATATAAATATTTTATGTTTATACCTGCGATGCAAAGTTGCAAGTTTATGCTGCGCTGAGATGAAATTACTGCAAAACTTCCATGAGGTGGTAACATAATGCTAAATTATAGCTCGTCCAACAACGTTATACGGCAAAACTTTAGCTAATTAAAAATAAAACGCTTTCAGAACTAAACAACAAGCGCGCCAAATCTGAAGAGCTTCAGATGATGAAATTTATAACTAGTTTGAAAGCCGCTTTATTCAACCACCATAGCAAACGAGAGAAGTTTTCCTTTAAAAGAATAATTATCTCTTAACTCATCAGCATCACTTTTTCATTTCCTTCTCCGAGAAGAATTATAAGAAAATATAGTTACAAAAAAAATGACTTTCCATCCCCCTGGGGGTTATTTATTTCTCTCTTTCTTGCGCACAATGAGTTGCACATTTTGCTTCCCGCGGTTTTCCTGTGTGCGGCTGCAGTTTTTCCTTTTGCCAATTTCCGGAGCAAAACACATACAAAGCCGAGTCATCGTCAAACTGATTGCCAACTTGAAGCTCAGTCAGGTCCCGATTGGCAGCAAATTTCTTTCGCTCCCGGCCCGGAACGATACAAAGACCGGATATTCTGCCGCTGTTATTTTAGCCAAAGTGCAATATCGGCCGACGCGATCAGCTCTTGCCAGAGCGACACGCACCGCCCCGTGGCATTCATCATTGCCATAATATTTTTTACACTTTCCTCACCCTCGCTCGATACGATCGACGTCATACAAGACGAAGCTGCTTTTGAAAAGATAGCGATAGTGAAAAGATGTTCCCTGAGCTGCTGAGAAAAACGAAAAAAAAAATCAAACACTCGCAGAGAAAAGCAGCGGATTAGGTAAAAAGCATTAATTTCATTTTTTAAGGGAATGAAGAGATCGGGCCGTTACCTCATTAAAAAAATGATTTTATTAAAAGACAACAAACATTGAGCAATTTGTTGTTTTTGAATAAGAACAACTTTTAATTGCAACGAGGAAATCCCGACCTCTTTGATTTCATGATAATCTCCTTGAGTGCCAATTTCTTCAAACAAATTCATCTGTCTTTAATTACTTGATAATTGTGTTTAAATTAATTTTTGATTCATTGCACTTTAACGGTTACTTAATTTTAAAATTAATTTCAAATTGATATTGGCATGTTTTTTTAATTAGTTTTTTTTTAAATTTATAGATTATTATTTCAATTTAAAATTTTAATTAAAAAATTTAAAATTGCATAACTATAATTTTGTTCTGTTAGATTCAGCTTCTTTCTAATTTAAATATACATTCGTGGACATAAATTTTTTCTCAGACGTAATATTTGTAACACGTTTTCATTTTTTTTTGTACTTACCCAGAATCTCTAGAGTGTGGGTCAGTGTGATGGGCTCCAGCAGCGAGATCTGACAGACGTAGTCGCCAGCGTCCTTTGTGGTGATGTCTTTGATCTTCAGGTTGGTGCTGTTGACCAAACTGATCCGCTTGTCAGGGTAGATCTTGTGCGGTCCGGCCGTCAAGATGTTGGCGCCCCGCTTCCACACCACTTGGTAATCACCTGCAACAAAATGAACAAAATATGTAATAAATCGATGGGCAATTGCAATTAATTTTCCAGCGGCACGAGTGGCTGTAAATCAATTTCCAGCAAGGGGTGAAAATAAACGCCGCCGATCCCATTGCATGACAAAAGCACGGCGCGCAATATCCATTAATGGGAAATAGATGGGACGTGACCGGCGCCGTGTCTGCTTCTTAATATGCACGCCCAATAATTTCTCAATAACGGCCGAGCCTGTTGAATTATTCAGGGCATCAAAGTGTGAGAGAGAGACGAGTGTATGGGCAAACACGTCAGAAGGGTGCGTGCGTGAAGATGGGCCCGGCAAACACCCTTGTTTATGACGCGCCGAGAAAGGATGCTGGTCAGGTGTGAGACCGAAAAATTGAGTCAGACGCCCTTGGGCGACTCTTAATGGCGCACAAGGCGGCGAGCATTAAATTTTCTCACACACACACGCACCCCACACTTGCCAAACGCAACGAATTCCATCGATTTTTGCTCGTAGGATAAATAAAAAAAACGAGGTTTTAAAAAAAAAAAACGTCAAAATTGATAGAAAAAGGAAAAATAAAATTTAACTGAAACAAATTAAAGTTGATTTTTATTTGCTTCTCTTTGAATCATGTAATTTCGAGTTTAATTTTTTTATCGATTATTTAGCTAAAAACCGATTACTCCAGGAAAAATATCTCTTTTTCAGATTATTTTATAAAATCGTGTTAAAAAAAGGCAAAAGTTTAAAAAAAATTATTTCAGGCGACTATGTAAGAATCTTGAATGGACCATTCTGATCATTTTGAGCTTCCTTTTTTGACACATTTTTGTTTCTACTCCTTACCACTAGAACTGAGGGCTTAAATCAATTAAAAGGCGTAATTTATTTAAGTAATTCATCATTGAAAATTGAGTTTGACCTTGAGCTTGTGCAGACCTAATTTCAACGGATCGAAACTGACGCACACAGGTGTGAAAAGTTGTCAATAAGCACGCCATGCTGGTTAGGCCGGAAGCATTTTCAAATGCAAACAAAGAAAGCCCGTAATTTTGCAGCAAAACAAAGTCAATTACGCGAGACCGAAAGGCAGAAAATTAACCAAAACCACGGAGCACGTTCTAATTCGAACTTCGCGTGCGCTACTCGCTTCGTCCGCTGTAATTGCATTGCCAAATGTAACACAATTAAACTTCCCCCGCCTCATTTGGAATATAAATTTGGTCGTCGCTGCATGTGTTGAGCAAACAAGAGCAAATTCAGCGAGAAATGACAACGGCAGCGAGCGTAGTTTGCTGATGATTTTGTTACAAAATAAAATGGCTCTGCGCGAAAGAGAGAGAGATATATGGAGTGAAAGGCCCAGTGTTTACCTTTTGACGTTTACTTTTGCTTGATTTGGCGCGGGAAAGGGTTGCTTTCGCTCTCTCGCGCCCCTTTTCATTTTTATACTCGCTCAGCGCCACATGTCCGCTGCAGCACCAACAACGAACGTATTTTTTGAATTTAACTTGTCACTCTTGAGCTCTGTGTTTTCATAAGAATGGAAAATTGAAAAAAGTACCCATAAGTTTTCTCATTTTCGGCTCAAAATTTATCACACACACTTTTCCACCTCCAACGACTAAGAAATTAGAAAAATAAATCATTGAACAAATTTGAAAATCAACTCTCATGCATATTTTTTTTTTAAATTTATGAATTGCAAAATAATTAAAGTTAATAAATTAAAACTTAAATTTGTGTTACAGTTTCTTTTCAAGTTGAGCAAATAATTAGAAAAAAACTTTGAATTCGTAAAGTTTAAAATTGGCTGTTAATTCGTTTCCTGGGGAGATTTTTATTTCCAGCTATAGCTTTAATTAATTGATTTATTCTATTTCTATTCAGCTTTTGCGTCAAACTTTTGCGTCGGAATGTTGTCTGTTGAGGTGGTGCCCTTTCAATTTCAGGCTCACGACTGTGTGCGGCACATTTGAGTGGGACGCGGACGTCATTCGCAGTGCTCATTATACTCGACGTCATAAAATGTCAGAATAAAAATGTTCCCTCTTTTATTTTCCCAATCAACAGCTGGCTCGGAAAGACCGAAAATAAAACAATCGGCGCATTTTCTCGCCCGAAAGTAATAACAATAATTGTTTTCATCTCGCGCGCCAACCGCTTTTAAAAGCTGGTCGAACACCGGTGACACGAACTTGAAAAAGAAAGAAAAGTCTGAAGATGAGCGGACGCAGGGGAGTGAGAAGAGAACTTATCGGCAAAAAATAATCCTGCGATGAAAGGAGTTTTGCGTTCGCTCGATCGCACGGCCATATTTCTTTGAGGCTCCTCTGCTGCTGATTTCGCCGAGAGGAAGACGCCGCCGCCCTTTCTCTCGGTTTGTTTTAATAAAGATGAATGATCTCGCCTTTGAATTCGCTTGGAAAAACTCGGGATTATCAAAAACGTGTTCCGCACCAACACGGCGTCGGCCGATTTCCACATGCTCGAGTAAGTACTTTGATTTGATCAACATTTTTCTTTCCTTCTTCTCCTCTCTCTTGGAAAATGTCTTTTTGCGTAATATTTGGCTCGGAGAAATTATCACGCTTCGTATAAAACGTTTTACGACTTTTTATACAACCGCCGCGTGAATTATAAACACAAACACACAAAAGCCGATAAGTGCAACCGAAATCTTGATGCACCCCCGGTATGTGTTTAATAAGGAGCGCGGTTTGTTCTTCAAGGCTTAATAATAACTTAATAATAATTCCAAGTTTGCTTTGATGGTGCGTCGAGATTGCGACCGCAGTGCAAACAAAACGAGCGAAACCAGTCGCAATTAAAACCCCGCCAACCCCTCCTCGCCCGGCGCGTTTCTCGTGCGATTCCGCCATAAAAGCTCCGCCAGGTTGTTAAACATAATTTATACACGCGAATGCTGTTGTAAAAAGCTGAGAGTGTATAAGGCGCACAATCTCTAGCCGTGTCAAATAGTACAAAACCGCGAGCTCGCGTGTTCACTGGTTGTACTGCGACGCTTTGTTTCCCTTTTTCATCTGCAGTACACAACATTGTCGCAATGCAAAATGCTACAAAAAGAAAGAAAAAAGTACGCTGTGTGGAAAATGATTCTGATTTTGGTAAAATTTCCTGATTTATTAGATAGTAAAAAGAACAAAAGGAGAGCAAGAACTTTGATAAGAAATCACATTTTCCACTTTTCAACATTCTGTGCTACAACAAAACACAGAATTTATCAGATTTGTATAATAATAAGAAAGGCCTCCAGAAAAAAAATATTTTTACTAATGAATTTAATTTGTGAGTAAAATGGTAATTATCTTTTAATTTTTTTTCTACAAAAATACTGATTTTTTTTAAATATTATTTTTTTATTGTAATATTATTTATTGAAACAGAAAGGAGGGAATTTTTATTTATTCAACAAGAATTTATAAAAAATTGTACCCTTTGATACACTTTTTTTTCAAAAAAAAAAAGAAATCGATGAAATAAAATAAAATAAAGTTAAATAAAATAAATAATAAAATAAAATAAATTATTAAACTAAAAATTGGGGATTGAAAGTCTTCTTTTTTGAAGCCGGTTTTAATATTTCACTAGCCTAATAATTTTAGATTTTCAGACTAATATTGTATTTCTCAACAGAGAGCTGCTAAATAAAAAAATTAATTTTTATAAATGTCGAACAAAACGGCAATAATTTTAGTTTCAAATGAATTTTACTAAAACTTCTGAGGTACAAAAACCCCATTCGCCACAGTGAGCCTGGGTTTACTTGTTTTTCGATCATATCACTTAGTTTTTGTTAGATTTTGTTAAATTAGAGATTTGAGCTTTTTCAACTTTGGTCAAAAGGTAATTGAAAGGTTCGCTTTACAAGATTTCAAATTTATTAGCTTTTAGAATTTCCTTTTTGGAGCAGATCAATGAAACTAGGTTGAATTCTTCGTTCGTTGGAAGCCACACACATATTAATTCCGTGGGCGGCGGCCGGCTGAGCCTTTGAAAAAGTTATTTTGGCAAAAATAAAGGCCCAGCAGCTCCGCTCCTTTGTGTCTGAAGAAAGACTTTCCCTTTAATTACAACGTCGGTAGTTTTTCTTCCTTTGGGGAAAAGTTTGCCTTTTTGAGGCGAGAGCAAGTTCGGCGGCTGCGAATTTTGTTAGATTTGCTCGACTGCGGCAGCCGAGACTTTACGACTTGATGAAATGCTGGCGGGTGTCGAGAAATGAGAAACAGTCAAGCCAGCCGACGCGGTGCACACTGAAGAGCTCTCCCGAGCACCAGCTGCGGCCTCGCTTCTTTTTATCATTTGTGCCGCCGCCGCTCGGCAGCTGAATTATGTTGCCGGGACAGTCACGCGCTGAATTGTTATTGTTTAATGCGATCCGCAAGCGAGCGAGCCGAGATTGCAACAAAGGCAAATGGAAAATTCATTGAACCCCGGCCGCTCTTTTGTATCTCAGCACAAGCATGCCTCGCATTTTTCTTATTTTTTATTAAAACTGGAGCACGCGACTGGCTTTGCTGCGAAACGACGGAAGAATTGATTGAAAATTAATATTATAAAATATTTGAAGCAAAACTTAAAAATGTAGAAGTTCTGACTTATTCTCTATTCCATTATAATATTCATTTAGAAAATTTGAATAAATTCAATCTTCTTCTCAGCCTAAAAAAGAAGTTTTTATATTATTTTTCTATCTTTATATTTGGATTGATTCAGGCCTAACAAACTAGACGGAAAAGTATCGAACTTAAGACGGACAAACTTTGCGACAGTCTGCAACCTGCACGACGCAGCCAGCCAACCGGTTGCCTAATTTAGTTACAACTTTCGGCCGCTGGAAAGTACATAACATAGAGAGAAGTCCAGCTAAACCGGCTGTATTTATCTCTATATGATCAATCCCATGGAGAAAAATCCTCCAAAGCCTCCGATTGGAGCAAAAGGGAATACCCTGGAAGCATTATTTGCAGCTGCCACAGAG